GTTTTGATAGTATATATATATATATATATATATATATATATATATATATATATATATATATATATATATATGCGTTTTCGTGTGGATGACAGGCCGAATCATAGAAAAATATCTTCATTTTGGGAGATACCCGGCTACACGTGGACAGGGCCGAAGACACTTTGAGCTTACCATTTTTCACTAATGACCAAAAGAAAATGTCTCAGACATGAGTACAGTTCAAAGCCCTCACTGTACAACTAAATGTTCTTAGTGGGAAACATTTCAGCCATTTAACACTGCCAGTGATGACAAAAGTCGTCATTTTAAATTCAACCGTTTACTGCCAGTGACAACTAAAGTAATCATTTGCATCTTTTTACTGTGCGGGCATCGGAACGAGCGCCCGCACCATGAGAACAAACATCCCAGCTCTAAAGCCGATCTTCATCCGCGTACGTCACACGTCACATGATCAGAAAGCAGAAAATCCATGTGTTAAGAGATCGTTTTGGGCCGCTGCTGTAAAAAAAAGTGAGGCGCGAACCAGAAAAGCTTCTGCCGATCACAATTCAACAATGGATCATGAAAGAATGGGTAACTCTCAAAACGTGCGGATTCTTCCTGATGTAAGAGGTGAGTCTCCTTTTTGTTTTGTTGGTTTTGGCGTTGACATCATCCTAGAGCACAACGTTCAGTGACTCTTACAAAAAACAGTGAAAATGCAGAAAACTGCTGAAAGATTCTGTGTAAAGAATTGCAAGTTGAGTCACAGCTAACAGCTTCATCTGAATTTAGAGCCTCAAGGGCCACATTCCTGCTACCAGTTTTACGTTTCTTGCTTCAACATTCCTCATCCTCAGTAAGGGTGGGAATCAAAAACTGGTTCTTGTTGAGAACCAGTTCCCATTGTTTCAATTACTAGGAATCATTCACCGTTTTTGCAAACAATTCCCTTATCAATTCCAGTTGGCTTGAAACAAAGTGTGACGTCACCACACATGTTGCGTGGGTTATGCATTTACTCAGCAGGAAACATGGTGCCGAAGAGGCACAAACGCTCAAAGGTTTGGTTATACTTTACGAGAAACGGTGACAATAAGACAACTTGCAATATTTTAAAAGTAGATATTTCATCAAAGGGAGGAAACACTATGGATAATCAAAAGCATTTGTGCACAAAATACGTGATTACTCGAAGTAAATGTTGTGTTTTTGACCCATTCCAGACTAGTGAATTTCAACGCAGCTGTAGCAGTGGTGTTTGCACGTCCTCTCTTGTTATCGGTGTTAGGGTTAGAATATGTTAGATTAGATAACTAATCAACTAACGCTGCCTATCGTGTTTGCGTCATTTGCATTTTAAACACACCTCCACACTAGCAGAGTCCAGAGACTAAAGTCTGACCTAGGGTGAGATTTTGCTCGCCATGCAAATGCTACAGCAAGAAAATGACTCTGCCTTTACAAGGAGCATAAAAGAGAACATTGTGAAAGATCTTTTCAAATGATACCATATACAACTGATCATGTATCGTTAATAAAGTGACATGTATAATGGGGACTGTGTGCAATTAATTTTTGTCACCTATTGAACTACTCTGGAATTGATAAGGAATTGGAATGATAGACAGAATCGACAACGACATTGATATAAAAACGTATTATCTAATTTTCCAACCCCTACTCCTCAGAATGTCAACAGCTTCTGACCCACTGATTCAGAACAGGTGTGTTGAAGTAGAGAGAGAGAGTGGCTGAAATGCCTCTTTGAGGACCAAATGCGGGATGAATGGATGAAGAACAGATTCATAATGGATCTCCTGGAGGTCAGTTTACAGGTCAGCACTAAAACTCTGCTGTAAATTTGCTTTGGCTCAGAGTAATCTTCTGTTGTCATGGTCACAGTCTGTGTTTGTTCAGTGACAGCGCTCTTTCTCCTCTCAGCTTTAACTTGCTGCTGTTACAAACCGCTGATGTTGAAATCTTCTAACAAAGCAGGATCTAAATCCGGAAGTCATGACTGACGACTAGCTGTGAGTCATTTATTACCTGAGATTCATCACCTATATAGTAGGAGGTTCTGTGTGAGATTGGGGGAAGCTCTCTCTTCTTGGGAGGCTCTGCGCTGGGGGGGGGGGGGGGGGGGGGTTCCGCAGGGCTCAATTCTCAGACCACTGCTTTTTGCAATTTATTTATTGCCGTTGGGGTCCATCTTCCGCAGACATGGCATTAAGTTCCACTTATATGCTGATGACTGCCAGGTCTATTCTCCACTGTCTCTGGGGAACAGAGCTTCTTTTTTAAACCTTGAGACCTGTGCAAATGACGTCAAGGCATGGCTTGCAGCAAATTTCCTGTATGTTAATAAACGTAAAACGGAACTTATCTTGATCCTCTCAAGCTGCAGCTAAGATTTAGGTTCTACTGTTGATTTGTGCACCTTCTCATCCCTCCAGAAGCCAGTTGTCACTAGCCTGGGGTTGAGACTTGATTCTGCTCTTAGATTGGACTCTCATGTCAACTCAGTAGTTCGGCCTTGCTGTTTTCAGTTACGTTGCCTACTAAACTCAAGTCTATTCTTTCCAGAACTCACTTGGAGTGTGTACTCCATGTGTTTGTGATCTCTAGGCTTGACTATAGTAACTCCCTCTATGCTGGGTTGGGTCAGACTATTGTGCGATTAGTGCAGAACAGTGCTGCTAGGTTTTTGACTGGAACTAGGAAAAGAGACCACATTTTTCCAGTGCTGGATTATCTTCACTGGCTCCCAGTATCATACCGGGAATAGTGTAAAATTCTGCTTTTTGTGTTTAAGTATTTCCAAGGCAGTGCCTCCGCCTACTTAGCAGAGCTCTTAATAAAACATGTTCCCTCAAGGTCATTACAATCGGCTGACCAGAAATTGCTTATCGTCCTTCGCACCCGATTAAAGACTAATGGTGATTGGGTTTTTCAAGTCCTTGCACCCTCTCTCTGGAACCAGCTTCCACTCACAATCAAACAGTCCCCATCACTGGCAGTCTTCAAGAGCAGGTTGAAGACTCATTTTTATAGGATGGCCTTCACCTAAAGCTTTTGGTTTCTGGTTTTTATTTATTTATTTGTTCTTAGCTTTCTTATTAATTCAAATCTAAATTTTATCTCATTGGCATTTTATTGTTCTCACAAATGTTTATTTTGTTTTTAATGTTTTTATGACTTGCTACTTTTATCTTTGTTACTTTTCCTGTCCAGCACCTTGGGCCCCCTTTGAGGGTGATGGACAGCGCTATATAAATCGACTTGGACATTTAAAAATACCCAAAAAAGGTTATAAATGTGTCTGTCGATGTCTCTGAACCTAATGGGGGTGCTAGAGAGCTCAGGGTTTTAACAACACAAACTGTCCAAAGTATTATGCACAGATTTAAATCAGGATACTCAATTAGTACTAGATCCTACTGTTAAATGCAGAGTTACTCCTTATCTATCAGTAGAATAGAAAAATAGAATAGAAAAATCAAAAATTATTTGAAAAGGGGACATATTGTGTAAATCTGACTTTTGGCATCTTTTTGTGTTATGCTCTGGGCCTCTACTGCCTTGATAAACACTCCAAATGTAACAAAAACCATCCATTATTGTCAGTGTTTGGTTTCAGGACCAATTTGCTTTTACAAGCCTTTTCAAAAGTCCCTTACTGTGATGTCACAATCAGGAAATTTGCTTAAAACACCCTCCCACCACCATTACCACCATCTGTCTACACTGTAGCTCTACTCCAAGCTCATCCCAGATATCTGAGCTCCTCGCCTCATGGTAGCCAGTCATAGGATGGGTGGGTTGCCAGAGCCCTGAAATGACTCATTCTGGATGGTACTGAAAAAACATTGTCAGGAATTTTGTGTAAAGAACTACATGAACATGTTTTGTAGCAATCATAGAACTACTATAACTTGCTTAAAAATTGTTATCATGTGTCAGCTTACAAAATAAACACTTTGGATTTGACTTGGCAACATTTTTGATTCAAACAATGATTCCTGCAGAAATTACTTTCTACAATGGGACCAATGAGTAAACACAGTCTCTTAAATCAAATCCTAAGTGCAAACTGGAGAGTGGGGTTTAAATAATATAAATCATGAAGCTATGTTAATATGTTAGAAAGTGATTCAGAGTAAGTGAACTGTAAAATCTCAGACAACACTGACAAGAAGCACAATCTGTTGTTTTGGACTCAAACTTATCCAGTTCAGCTTCTTGTTAATATGATAAAAGAAGTCAGTAACAACTTGCAAGTAAGCTGATGCGTCATCCCTGAGGAGAGAGGTGGAAGATCACAGTGGTTGTAATTTTCTATGGGAAAAAAATGCTTCCAACAATAAATACATGATAAGTTAGTGAATTCTTCTTTTGCTATTCAGAGGTTGGGGAAAATGTTTTTGTACCTGCAAAACAGGCATCTATGAGGCAAAACTACGTTTGGAAAGATTTGTATACACAATAAAAAACAGAAGTTTATCATACTTAGCAGAAATTGTGGTAAATAAAGAAGACTGAAGCACTGGGAGAATGAGTTAAGCAGCTCTAAAAATGACTAAATGAATCTGAAATACCCACAAGTAGCTCTAAATAAGCTTTGTTACACCAAAGACTAAGTTAAACTAATTATTACTGATACATTACGTATTCAGTGTTTCTAATTCCACAGATAAAGAAAAGAAAAAATCTAAAATATTTAGAAATTTTCTTTTGTCCTAAACGTCTGGGCTTGCATCGCCGATGACAAGAAATTATTATCTGAAAAAAGTTCATTTTTGTCATTTAAGAGTCAGCTCATGTGATTTTTATCTGAAATCCGACTTTCAGCACTCCTTTGCTGTTTTAGAAATAAAACATTCCCAATTCCTGACTACGTCTAATTTAAAACGAGACAGTCTTACTTTGCAACAGATCTACTTACAAATGCCAAAACATTATCTTGTGAAATAGTGCAGCAGCTTTGCAGAGCTCCACACATGCTGCTGGGTACTTACAGGATTTGATTCTGTTTTCAGCCTCGGCCCCCATGAGATGAGCAGCAATGCTTTTCCAGGTAATAGAATCCAGAATAAAGTAAACCACGTTTGGAGAGCTCTGATTTCTGCAGACAAGCGGAGTGCTGAGCCCGCTCTACGCATATGTTGGCAAAGCCTTTAGCTTGGCAAAGAAGCTCATTAAGCTACTGACAATCACTCCCACAAAGCCCCATCTGAAGTCTATTCACCGGGTGTGCACAAAGCACAGTGGAGGAATGCGAGCCTCATCAGCGCTGTTTGGGATGTTCGATGCACCTGTAGAATGGCTGATTTGTGACGATCAGCTGGGAGCAATAATCTGAGCAGAACTCTGGGTGGGAGCGCGGATCTCCTGCTGGGAGAAAATCTCTTGAGTGTTGCTTCTGCTGTAAGCTCGTTCTGCCAGCCACAGACAATCTGCTTAATTGCTAATACTGCTGAAAACTGTGGAGCATCAAACTGCTTAGGACAGTCCCCCAGCACTGGGCCAAAGCGTTGTTGTTGGTGCTACTGTTTGATCCCTCACTGTAACAAGACCAAACGCGTGTTTGGATCTGACGGAACTGTGACCATACAGATGGAGCGGAGCTCAGTGCAACCAAAGTCTTGAGATTGTTGATGAAAGCTTTCCATCAGCCTAACTAAAAAAAGAAAGGCAAAGAAAAAAGGCTGATTCTCTCCCACGACACGCGGGGAAGGGGGGAGGGAGGAAGCAACCCCCCAGTCTGGATGATGTATGATGTGGACCCTAAACAGAGGCTTGGGTTTTAACGAGAGAGAAAGGCGGCAAATAAAGGGAAGGAGGGAGGAGGGTCATGCTTGAATTATGCTGATGTGGGTCATAACGGGGGTGAACCTAGCCAGAGGAACGGCTGCTTGGTCAGTATGTACAGCCTGAGATGACAAGGTTGTTCCTGCGAGGCCTCACAAGTCCTGACAGTCAGAATCAGGCTGTTTCTGTTTAAAAGAAGGGACACACGCTTATCAGACGCTTGTCGCATGTCCAGAGGGGTTTTAATCAACTCAGAAAATAACCATTGGAAGTTAATCTGGCTTTTGAATCAAGCAGATCTAAGATAGTCACTAGTTACTAATTTACCTTCAATCTGATCTCACCATATATTTGTTTAAATCTTTGGAATTAGCAGCTGGAGTTCGAGAAGACCGCATTTCACAAAAACACAAAAATGGCTTTGACTCACGTTGCTGGTATTGAGTTGAGATCTAGTTGTAGCACATGATAACAAATAATAAGATATGGGCACATTTTTCCATTAGATCTGACAAAATGGCTATACCTCCCCTCAACATGAGGGATGTTTGTTTAAAGCTCCTGAAACCAGAGCGTTTCTTTGGTCATCTTTGGTATGTTCTTACTGTGCTGCTTTTCTAACTGCATGGTTGGTTCTTTTTTAAAACACAGGAAAGGTTTCTTTTTACCTTGCTGCTGACAGTTTTGTTCGCGGCTGCGGACTTCCTCAGAGCTAACGCTGATGGTGGCGACACTTCCTACTCCATTTAGAAAAAACCTCACAGCAGATGACGTAGCACAACTGATAGGTCTGGTAACTAACTCCACTTACTTCACATACGATGACACAATATACAAACAACTGGAAGGCTTCGCCATGGGTAACCCGTTATCAGCCACCCTGTGCGAGTTTTTCATGGAAGACCTAGAACAAAAAGCCATAGCCCCCCCAAAAAACTGCTAAATAAGACTATGGAAACGCTACGTAGACGACATACTGGAAATCATACCAAAAGGACAAACAGAAACACTAACACAACACTCGAATAACATTGACGACACAGGCAACATAAAGTTCACATATGAGTCAGAAACAGAAGGCAGCATAGCTTTTATGGACATGAAAGTAACCAGGCAGACCGACGGGACCCTAAACATGAACACATATAGGAAACCAACACACACACAGACCAATATATATTATGGTGTTATGGAAATTTTATGTTTATCATTTTTGATCATTGATTAAACTAACTGAATAATATTTGGATGGGTCCTGGCACCTATACGCCCCCACAACGCCAAGGATGACATCTCTCACCTAAACAACAAGGTGAGGACACAGACACTTGACTGTTCTTATGACTCAGCAGTTTTAACTGTATTGACAATTGATTTTTGGTAGTGTTTAGCAAGAAATGCCTTTCAGATAATGTCAGCTCATTTTGATTCTTGGTTCTGATCAGCTGGTTACTACTGTGTTTGTTTGGGGGTATCGTAGAATACATGCTGTGGACTGTCTGCTTATGAACTCCAGCATCTTGAGAACAGCGTACAGAAGGAAGCCTTCTTGTCTTCTCTGAAGATATGTGAAGTATGTGGACATGGTCATTGGAATTCTAACAAGTATGAGACTGATCGGATGTTTTTCATTTCCCTCACACTTTTTGTGTCTCCACCCGACTCTCCTCTCGGTGTCTCTTCTTCTCTCCCCACAGTTCTTTCACTGTTGTCCCCTACTGTCCTTCCCTCTCTCCTTCTGTATCTTTATTTCTGTCATACTTATCTCAACAGTAACTTAACAAATACATTGAGAATGGGATTTTATAAAGGTGTTAAATTAAGTCTTAATTGGTTATTTTAATTTTTTTTCTTCAATGTAGTTTAGAAAGATAATGTAATTTCTGTCTTCCACCCTTAGCATACCTTGCTGTCTGCGGAGAGAAACAATGGGATACTAGTTTTTCTCTTTCAAAAGGCATCTGAGGATCTAAGGCAGTCAGTAAAGCCAAAGTCTGAAGTCAAGAGGTAAGTCAAAAAGTAGTGTAGTAGGAAGCATGATTTGTTTCAAGTGCATTATTCCAATGAGGATGGAAAGGAGAGAGAGAATAAGTGAGAATGTTTGGAGAGGGTTTGATAGGAGAGAAGTAAACTGTATCCCAAAAACAGCTTAGAAGAGAAAGAAGGTAAATAGAAATAGCAGAGGCTACAGGAAAGGTTGAGGATGTTGGAAAGGTTTGCCTCCTTCAGTCCATCTTCCCAGCATCAACAACCAGTTCCTGTTTGGGTCTTACAGCCACTGGCTCTGTATTTATATCACTGATCTCTGAACAAAATCAGTGGGGGTTCTTGGTTCTGTATTTTCATATATCTATGCATTTTTAATTTGTGTTTTATTGACTGATTTTTTTTAATGGCAGGTCAAAGGCTTCATTGGGGGATGAGCAGTGTCCCCGGAAATCCCTCCATCTTAAAGGAGCGCAGAACCTTACACTGAGCAGAGAATTGACTCAAACACGAGAACAAGAGTACTACTTCAAAGGATTTGTCTCAGATTTTTAATTGTTGTCACCTTTTTTATGGAAAATTTATGTTTATTAATTATTGATCATTGACTCAATCAACTGAATGTAAATGTATGGCTCTATGCCTCTGATCATGCTCACTCTTTCAGACACACCCACACAAGCCACTCACACACACACACACACCACAATCAATCTGTCTCTCTCTCTCTCTCTCTCTCTCTCTCTCTCTCTCTCTCTCTCTCTCTCTCTCTCTCTCTCTCTCTCTCTCTCTCTCTCTCTCTCTCTCTCTCTCTCTCTCTCTCTCTCTCTCTCTCTCTCTCTCTCTCTCCTCTCTCTCTCTCTCTCTCTCTCTCTCTCTCTCTCTCTCATCTCTCTCTCTCTCTCTCTCTCTCTCTCTCTCTCTCTCTCTCTCTCTCTCTCTCTCTCTCTCTCTCTCTCTCTCTCTCCTCTCTCTCTCTCTCTCTCTCCCATTTCTCTATAAATAAAGTCTGTGAACAGATGTCCGGGGCATTTTGCCACAGTTATAACGGTTTGACTTGTCTGCTCATTGTCTCCTTCTCTCCACTATAGGAAATGGGTTATTGATAAACTTATTGATAAAATCCATGACAACCTTGATGAAAAAAATGGCGCAATTTGAGAGTTGGGGTGTGAATAATCAACACAAAATGCATCCTTATGACTATTTTTTACCCCCAGGCTTTTAGGAGGTGATCAGAGGTCTTAAGGTCATTGTTACCATGAACTTGCATCCATCTCATTCTCATGAATGCATATATGCAGTGATTTATATGTTTATATAACGCCTGTTTAATTAACCAACATTTTAGTGTACAGCGCCTTGTTTGGTTGTAATGCCTTGTGAATGTGGTTTATAAATAAAATTGGATTGGATTGGATTTATTTTCAAATTAACACTCAGTTGGCCTAAGGTTGAGCTGCTTAGATTTTGGGAGCCCAGGTTGAGGTCACACAACTCATTGTTCTGTTCTTTTTATGTTTCAGGACATTGATTCCAGAGAGGCTGAGGCAGACAATACAGAGAAGACAATGGGCATCTACACAGTCCGAGCAGAGGGTCACGGTCCTGATGGTCCAGGTGATGGATGCTTTGCTGATGTTGGTACTGTGCTGGAAGGCGTGGAAGTTCTCCATAACCTGCACAGTGTCAGCCATGCATGCGTGATGCTTTATGGACTGATCTATGCACTCAACTTGAGCTATCCAAAAAACCTGAAGCGTACTTTCGAGGTGTACCAGAAAATCCTGATGGACCTGGACTCAACCAAACTTTCACCAAAAGTGCAGGCACTGAAACTCAAATTTCTCCAGTAATATGGCTGACGGTAATGCACTAACACAACCCCTACATCCCGTGTCATGTTATTTCCCAGTCAGACTGGATCTTGTGTTGAAATGAATCCCTTAGTTCTTGAAGGGTGTGTCAGGGAAACACCTGTTTGATTAATGTGCGTCTGTAAAGTTTGTTTTTTCTTTTTGTCTCCAAGCCTTTAACAGGGAAATGTATCAGTGTGGCTTTGCAGGTGGGTTCATAGATGGGTAGTTTCTAAAGTGAGTTGGCTGGCAATGTTGTGCCTTGGCTCAAACCAGATTTTTAAAAATTGTTTATAAATTCAATGGACGCTAGATAAGTGTTCAAAAGATATTTGTTCCAAAAAAGTGCGTCAGTTCATACCAAAGCCTGTTTTTCTAATACTGAATGGAAACTATGGCCATAGGGACTTATTTTGAATGTAAACCTGTGTAACATTAACTGAAATACATAATTATGATGGAAAAATCACTTTAAGATATAGGGTATATCTTCAATTGACGTTATCGTTATGTATTTAAATAAAAGATTGACGTGTACATTCAAAATAAGCCCCTATGTTGTATTATTGCAATAGACAAAACAAAGCAGATAAAACTGAACAGACTGAAAGACCACAAGTTGAGAGTGTGTGTGTTGTAGATGGGCAGCTTAGCACTTTGCTCTGATGAGCTGAATTATCTGATATTTTCCAGATTTGTTTTACTTGTTTGTATTTCTTTCCTCGTGTTTAATTCATGAGGTTATTTCTACAGTTTAGTCACTCATGTAGTACTCTGGAAGGAGAAAAAGTAGGATGAGGGGGAATGGAGAGGAGTGAGATGGATTAGAAAGATGGAAGTATTTGTACATGCATTAATCATTAAAAAAATTCAAAGTGGACCACGAGGATACGTTCTGTCCTTTGTGTTTCATGTCATGGACGTTGAGAGGCTTTAATGCAAATAAGGTTGTTTAATCAAGGTGATCTGAATGTTCTTAAGCATCATTATTGTTTGTAATAAATGAAAAATAGTTCAATAAATACGATGCATTTTGAATAGTTTGGTTGATTACGTAAGCATAAATGACATGTAATTCAAATAAATATATGCTATTTATCCGGCATAGATAACCTAATTTTTATGCAATTCAAACAATATTATTCATGTATTTGAAATAAATACCCTTCTTATTATTAATTTAGAGTAATTATACTTCATTAATACTAAATACATAAACTTGAGTAGTATGTGTTTCAATTAAATAGGCTTTATTACACTAATGAATATGCATCATGTAAAGTTTATTTGGTAGGCTTGTCTAAAAATTACCTTAAAAAAGGTAAATGGGAATTTGTCATGTAAAAAATTACATAAATCTTAAGTTTTAGGGTTAAACATTTCTGTGAGTGGACTGCATCATCAGAGAGGGGAGAGCGGGAAGCAGAGGACGACAACGATAAACAGAGTAGGAAGTGACGCCACCATCAGCGTCAGCTCTGAGGAAGCTCGCAGCCGCGAACGAAACTGTCAGCAGCAAGGTAAAGAAAACCCTTTCCTGTGTTTTAAAAAAGAACCAACAATGCAGTTTCTTTGGTGTTATTTATATGTTTTTATGTTCTCTAGCTATCTAGGATGAGCGAGATCTCAATAACATAAAATTGAAACAATGTTTTTGATCCATTAGTAAGTCAGTGAGGATGCAGGGTCTCAGGAGGATGAAACTCTAGCGAGGGAAGTAGTGGAACACACGTAGTCATTTAAGGAACGCCAGCGTGATGTTATTCCCGTCGTTTCTCTCCCCCAACCCCATTTACTTTCTGTTGAGCCTTTTTATTTTTCAAGTTATTTGGTATTTGTCTCTTGTCTCTCTGCCTGTCCACTCCGTTACCCAAACAGATGTGCCCTATGTGTCATAAATTCACCAAATTTACCTTTGCAAAGAGGAATACGTAGGGCTCTGATGTGGAATGAAGCCGTTCTGCCATATCGATGATTCAGATTCTATCAGAACATACTGTAACAAGATGGGGAAAATAAATTCTACATATCCATTTAGCAAAGTGACTAATGCATTATGTGGGAATTCTTAAACAGGAGGTTCGGATTTAGCTCTAAGGAATGGGGGTGGTGTGGTGGTGGGTGGGGGGGGGGGGGTTCCTTTTCATCCTGAATGCAATCAGTTAAAGTCAGTGACTGAGAACACCCACAGTCCTCTAATGCCAGACCCTGTGAGCCCAGGATCAGTCTTTGAGCTACAACAGGATGGAGCCTCCATTATGGCCGCACAAACAGAAGGAAGCCTTATGAACTTTGCACAAACGCTTAGAGCTTCTGGGGCTGGACAGCTCTGGAAGCCGGACGGGATGGGTAGGTACCGGGGCGAGCTGCCAGTTCCGAAAAGCTTAGTGTTCGTCCGCCGAGGGCCAGACAAACCTGATATTGTCCGTGGCACTGCCCCGGGGGACAGCCTCTTCCCCTTTCTGTCCGCCACCGCGTCTCATTCACATCCCAGCTGATCCACTGGTTTGGACGTGACACACACAGGCAACAAGAGAAATGTTTATTCACACTATGAAGCAAATGTTCAAACCCTTTAAAAGCACAAACCGTAATCCCTTGTAAAACTCAACTCTATGCTTTGTTAGCTCTGCTTCAGCGACTTGTCAAGCTCTGGTCTTGTGTTTCATTTAGAAATCAAAGAACAATCCACTGTGTTTCCCAGAAAATATTCATAACAATGTTAATTCATGGCGGACCTCTTATCTCTGTCGAGCAGCAATCGCTACACGCTATCTGGCT